CGGGTTTGGGGCTTGGGGTCTATCTTCATGACGCACGGGCTGGTAGAAGTAGGGTTAAAGGAGCCATTCAGATAAATGGAAGCACGTCTGTGCATGTATACATATTATGTATATATATATATATGTATATATGGTATATTATGTGTTATATATATATACAGAAAACGTCGCACTGCAGGCCCGAGTTTTTCGTAGGTCAGTGTTTTAAGCTAAAAAAAAATATATATATATATATATATATATATATATATATAGTTTTTTTTTTTTTTTGGCCCCCCCCCCCCCAAGGGGGGGGGGGGGGGGGGGGCCTGCCCCTTTAAAATTTCGTTGGGGGCCACCCTCAGACTTTTAAAATTTTAAAGGTGTTTGAAGATTTGAAAGGGGCCTTTCCCTTGAAGCTTTAAGTGGGTTAAATTTAAGGATTTTAAAGACTGTAAAGGGGCCTGCCCCTTTAAAATTTACTTGGAAGCCCTCATGTAAATTTGTTCTGGAATTTCAAGTTCTTGAAGATAATTGAAGGCCCTCCCCTTTCAAATGAAATTGGGGGCACCAATAAATTTTAAGATGTTAAAGTTTTTTCAGATTTTAATAGAGGGCTCCCCGCTCAACTTTATATGTGACCCCAAGTATGTTTTTTTAAAGTTTTTTGAAGATTGTGAAAAGGGCCTCCCCTTGAACATTTAAATTGAACCCCATGAAATTTTAAGATTATACAGGTTTTAATGATTTTAAAGATTTTGAAGGGGCTCCCCCCGCCCTGGAAGTTTTAAAGGGCCCCCCAATTCATTTAAGGGTTTGTAAGATTTAAAAAAGCCCCCGCCCCCCGCCCCAATGAAGCTTTAAAGATCTAAAGGTTTCAACGGTTTTACAGAGTTTAGCAGGGGGCTCCCCCGTTGAAATTTAATGGGGCCCCCAGTTCAATTTCAAAATTTCAAACCCCCCCCCCCCCCCCCCCCCCCAAAAAAAAAAAAAAATAAAGTCTACTTAGGGGCCCCAATTAAATTCTAGAGGTTAAAATTTTTGAAAGATTGTAAAAGGGCCCCCCTTTAAACTTTTAAGTGGGCCTCAGTAAAATGTTAATGGTTTTAAGTTTTAAAAGATTTTTAAAAGGCCTCACCTTGAAAGTTTAAATGGGGCCCCAATTAAAACTTTACAGATTTTGAAGATTTAATGATTTTTGGCATATTCTGGAGATGTTAGAAGCCTCCCCCCAAAAAAAAAATAAATGGGGCGCCCAAATTTTTTTTTTAGGATCTTAAAAGCCCCCCCCCCCCCCCCCCCCCCGCCCTTTTATAGGTTTTAACTCTAAACCTTTCCCATTTTCATTATTTTCAACATTTTAAAGGCCTTAACATGTTGAGAATCCTTACAGAATAACTGGGGCGGGCCCCTGGTCCCCCCAATATCTGAATACCTTTGACAAACTAGATGGGAAGGGGCCCGACTATTTTCAGGGCTTTAAAGTTTCTAACAGCCTTGAAAAACTTTTAAAGTCATTAATTAATCAAATGGGAAGGGGTCCGAATGCATTTGCTTTAAGGACTTGAAAGGTTTTAAAAAAACATAAATGGGTATGGGGGGCCCCGGGCCCTTCCCATTGAGATTTTTGAAGACCACAATTCAAATTTCTCCAAGACTTACAGAATTTTTCGAAAAGTAGATGGATGAAGATTCCCTTCTTCAAGATTTAAAGGATTTTAAGTTTGTTTTTAAAACTAAATGTATCCGGATGGAGGTTCTCATAATCTGTATGCAGGTATTGTAAGTATGGTCACAAATAAGGTAAATTCATGAAAAATATGTGTTTTGGACCTGAAAAACACAGGCCTGTATTCCGACGCACTCTCCAGAAAACTATATATATATATATGTATATATACATCTATATATATATATATATATCATTTTTGTATCGTATATATATATATATACATATGCACCATATCATATCATATCATGTCAGACCATATATCATCTATCTGCATATTATAATATGTACCGAAGTCTCATATCACAACATGTCAGATCATGTCACATATGAACATTTACCATACCCAAAACCTGACTAGCCTCCCACGATGGCGAAGGTTCTGGGACTCGGACGATGCACGGAATGCATTTAAACTCTTCTGAGCCTGTAAACCAAAAAAACCCTGAACTCTAAAAAAAGGGTTGAGGGTCTTGGGTCTAGGGTTTAGGGGTACCCCTCTTACGTTCCCAGTCGTGGACCCTGCAGCCCAAATCCAAAACCCGAACCCTGTCCATCCCCCCTTCCCGCCACAAACGATTGATTAAACCTCAAAAGTCTCTCGCCCCGAAGACCCGAACCCGAAATACCAACGGGGGTCGGGCATTGGTGGCATGTAGCCAGGCCCATACCTCAGCAAGCAAAAAAATGGGATTCGAGGCTAGGTTAAACCTGTTTGGGGGAAGGGGGCTTCGCCTCCCTAAGCCAAACCTAAACCCTGTTATGAAGGGTATCTTCTACCGGGACTCAGCTGTGCATGAAACAGGCCCCATCTCAAATTTAGGTTCAGGGCAGGTGGTCCGCGGCTTTTGGTAACTCCGCAGCGTTTGAAGAGGTCGGTGAGGGTGGGGTGGCGAGGGGTGGAGTAGCGTGTAGGGGCCCGGGGTGAGGGCAGGGGTTGTTGGGTCAACCTAACCGCTGCAGACCCTCAACCCTACATCCAAAAAGCCCGAAGCTAAACCCTCGAGCCATACCAGCCCTGCTACAGGGCGGTTGACACGGGCAGGGACAGAGCAGGCATACTGTACAGTGTGCAGCAACTCCAACACAACCATCCCACCTCAGCCCTGAACCCTGAACCCTCAACCCCGAACCCTAAACCCTAAACCCTAAAACCTTAAACCCTAAACCCTAAACCCTAAACCCCCCACCAAAAACAACAAAACACTACGGGGCCCTCAAAAACCCTAACCCCCAAACCCTAAAAAGCCCTAAACCCTAAACCCTAACCCCTAAACCCAAACCCTAAACCCCCCAAACCGCCCCTGGGGGGCCCGGCATGTGGGGATGAGGCCACTCAGGTGGACGCTCGTGCCTCGGGCTCTGGGCATTTGAGCCCTGCAGGGGGCTGAGGGGCTGAAGCAAGAACTTAGATTGCTAGAGCCTAGAGGGCTTAGGACTCAGGGTTTAGGGTTTAGGGTTTAGGGTTAGGGTGTAGGGTTTAGGGTTTAGGGTTTAGACGACTTAGATTCTTAGAGTTTAGGGGCCGAGGATGGGGCTTCGGATTCAGGGTAGGGTTTGAGGCTTGGGGATTAGAGCGCTTTGAGCTGTACCCTAAAAAGGGGGGTTGGTCGTATGCCCCTAATTCTAGACCCCAAGAGGAACCTAGGAATGAAAAAGGGCGCCCTTTCTGGGTTTACAAGGGGCTTCTAATCTAGCCTAAACCCTAAAGAAAGAAATGAGGGCCGAATTAGTCTGGGTCCTGGCAATGGATCTAGGAGCGTGGCATCCCCCAGCCGTAAGCCCCGCACCCCGGACTGAGCCAACAATCTCCCCCCCCGCTGCCCCTTTAGGGTTTAGGGTTTGGGGTTTAGGGTTTAGGGTTTAGGGTTTAGGGTTTGGGGTTTGGGGTTGGGGGTTTAGGTTTTGGGTTTAGGGTTTAGATGCCCTCACCACCCCCCCCCCCCCCCCCCCGAATGGAATGGGGACGTCCCTTTGGGAGCCCGGGTGGCTCGGATCCTGCACCCCTCAGCCCTAAATCCCTTATGAGGGCTCGGCTTACTATGGCTTATCGAGTAGCAGAGATGCCAAGATCAAGCCTTGAGTGAGTGGAGGTTGACGGATGGTTCTAACTGGGGGTTCCCCATTTGAGGCCTCTTGCAACCTTGCCTCCAAGTACTCCCTGAACCCCGAGGCCCTAAACCTCCAAGTCATCCCTGAATCCAGCACCGAGCCCTACGTGAAGTGGCTGGTTCCACTGATACGCACCTTCATCTCAAACTCCACCTGAAAGTCGCTCGTGCCCTCTCTCTCTGCAATCGCCGGGCGGAACAACTCAACAATGTCGCCAAGTTTTGCAGTTTCTGTGATGTGCATTTTTTAGAAGCTCAATACCTGCGACGCTGAGATTGACTGGAACGGTGTGAATACCTGCGTCCGAGAGTGACGGAGGCAACTGCTCAACCGTGCTCTCAATCTCAAAGTCCGAGGGGCGCGGTGTCCACTCAGAGGGGCGCATTATGGGCGAACCACCTGCCTTCCCCTCAGCTTCTTCCTGTGAGTTACTTGCGGCAGTTCCCCAGAATTGGAGGGTGCAGCGGCTTTGGGGTCGTAGGGCTACTGGAGAGAAGACCGCATCCGTGCCTCTTCTCGCGCTTGAAACTGTGAGTGGGGCAGCTGACGAAACCCTATCTGGGGCACTTGGAACCCTTCGTATAGCTCCCAAACCCTAAACCCGAAACCCGAAACCTTAACCCCAAAAACCCTGAACCCAAAAACCCAACAACCCTCAACCCCAATATTCAAACCCAAAGACCCTAAACCCCAAACCCTGATCCCTAAACCCTGAGCCTGAACCCTAAACCCCAAACCCTGAACCCCAAACCCCAAACCCTAAAACCCAAACCCTGAACCCTGAACCCTAAACCCTAAACCCTAAACCCCAAACCCCAAACCCAAACCCTGAACCCTGAACCCCAAACCCAAGGACCCTATAAGCCCCTCGAGGCCTTGGCCATCTTTCTCGGCCTGGGCTCTCCGAGCGGGAGCGGTCGTCCCTCCGCTCGGCCTGCTCGTTTAGGGTTTAGGCTTTAGGGTTTGGGGTTTGGGGTTTGGGGTTTGGGGTTTGGGGTTTGGGGTTTGGGGTTTGGGGTTTGGGGTTAAGGGTTTGGGGTTTGGGGTTTGGGGTTTGGGGTTTGGGGTTTGGGGTTTGGGGTTTGGGGTTTGGGGTTTGGGGTTTGGGGTTTGGGGTTTGGGGTTTAGGGATACCCTAGGGTCTAGAGCTAAACGTTTAGGATTTAGGGTGCAGTGACAAGTTTAGTGTGTAGGGTTTGGCAGTGCTCAAAACGAGGGTCCCGTTTTGAGTTCCTAGATAGTATACTTTAAGGGTCCCCAAAAAGACCGTTATTCAGAGAACCCCCCAAGTGGATTAAGGGTTTAGGGATTTGGGCCAAAGATACAGGGCTCAGGCTTTAGGATCTAGGAGAGGAGATCACAGGCGGAAAATGAGCAATCTCGCCCGTCCAAAGCGCAGGTTGATAACAACTGTGGCGATACTAACAAAGTGGCGATTACAATATTTAACCGCCCCAGTAAATGGGACTGGTCCGTACACCCACACCGAGATAAGCAGTGGACCCCGCGAAGCCCCAAGTTACATCCCTTTTCGCTCTAAACCCCAAAAGCCCCCGACCCTAAAACCTTAAAACCCCAACACCCGAACACCCTAAACCCCAAAAGTCCCAAAGCCCTAAACCCTTTTGACAACCCTAACACCTTAAAACCCTAACACCCTAAACCCCCAAAACTCCAAAAGCCCTAAACCCCTAAAACCTAAAACCCTGACAACCTAAACCCTAAACCCTGAACCCTAAAACCTCCTGAAAACCTTAATGCCCTAACACCCTAAACAGCCGAAACTCCCCAAAACCAAAACTCCAAAGCCCTAAAAACCTCCTTAAAACGCCCCAAACCCTAAACCCTAAACCTTAACACCTTAACGCCCTAAACAGCCCGCAACCCCCAAGCCGGAAAGACCTCGGCCATCGCGGCCAACAACGAAGACGAGCCCGAGGCCAGAGCCTGGCAATGCTGGTGGGCTTTTGAGGGTTTTAGGGTTTAGGGTTTAGGGTTTGGGGTTCAGGGTTCAGGGTTTGGGTTTTAGGGTTTGGGGTTTGGGGTTTAGGGTTCAGGGTTTCGGGTTTAGGGTTTAGGGTCTAGGGTCTAGGGTTTAGGGTTTAGGGTTTGGGGTTTAGGGTTTAGGGTTTAGGGTTTAGGGTTTAGGGTTTAGGGTTTAGGGTTAGCGTTTAGGGTTTAGGGTTTAGGGTTTGGGGTTTAGGGTTTAGGGTTTAGGGTTTAGGGTTTAGGGTTTAGGGTTAGCGTTTAGGGTTTAGGGTTTAGGGTTTAGGGTTTAGGGTTTAGGGTTTAGGGTTTAGGGTTTAGGGTTTAGGGTTTAGGGTCTAGGGTTTAGGGTTTAGGGTTTAGGGTTTAGGGTTTAGGGCCTCTTACCTCTTACAAGTGTATTTGAAGGTACCTGCTAAGGGCCTCCTAACTTCTTTGCAGATGCGCCCCAAACCCACGAATGCCTCGGACCGTAGCCAGCACCTAAACCCCTAAGCCCTAAACCCTAAACCCTGAACCCTAAACCCTAAACCCTAAACCCTAAACCCTAAACCCCCAACTGCCTAGAACCGCAAGCCCCTAAACCCCCAAGGCACCAAAACCCTAAAGTGTCCTTGAAGCCGCAAGCCCCAAAACCCTAAACCCCGAACCCTAAACCCTGAACCCTGAACCCTGAATCCTGAACCCTGAACCCTGAACCCTGAACACTAAACGCCAACGCCCAGCTGCGCGCCTTTCCCACGGCCACTGGCGCCGTGGAGTTCAGACGCACCTGCAAGTGCGTTTTTCCGGGAGTCTGAAGAATCTAAGCCCTCCTCCTTCCCTTTGTTGTTTGAGTGCTAAGGGGGCAAGGGGGCGCAGGAGGGGGGGGGGGGGGGGGTTGGGTTAGAATCTGTGCCCTCCACCTCTTAGACCCAAGAGTAACCTAGGTATAACAAGGGTGCCCTTTACCCCCAAAAGGGGGATACAGGCCTCCTCCGGGTCCTAGCCTCTAAACCCCTAAACCCCTAAACCCCAAACCCTAAAACCCTAAAACCCTAAACCCTAGACCCTAAAGCCTAAAACCCTAAACCCTAAACCCTACACCCTAAAACCCTAAACCCTACACCCCAAAACCCTAAACCCTAAAACCCCGTGATGTGAGGTGATCCTCTTCAGCGCAAGAAGGGAGACCAAGGGCCCATCCAGCTACAACAAGGGGCTTTTTCATCCTAAACCCTAAGCCCTAAGCCCTAAACCCTAAACCCTAAATCCTAAGCCCCAACCCTTCAAGGGCTCAACTCTTGGGAGTTCAGCTCCCAAGACCGGGGGGCTTTGGGGGCCTGGGAGCTCAAGGTTTGTAAGAGGTGAAAGCCACCTGCTTAGGGTTTAGGGTTTAGGGTTTAGGGCTTAGAGTTTAGGGCTTAGGGCTTAGGGTTTACGGTTTAGGGTTTAGGTTAGGGTTTAGGGTTTAATGTTTAGGGCTTAGGGTTTAGGGCTTAGGGCTTAGGGCTTAGGGCTTAATTAAGGCTTAGGGTTTAGGGTTTAGGGTTTAGGGTCAAAAGACCCTTGATGTAGCTGGATGGGCCCTTGTCATGTTTTATACCAACTGTCGGAGCTCCTATCCCCCATCCTTCCAAAGATCTATACCAAATACGGTGTCCTTCATATAAGGTCCCTGGAAATATGAGCTAAGAAAGATTAGAGTTTTTGGGGGTATACGTTAGCAGAGACAACCCGATTTCGGGAAATAATGCTAAAACTTGTCGGGCCTGCGGGGGAGGGGCTGCAGGGTTTTTCGGGGGACCCTGTGCACTCCAAGCAACCCACAAGACTTGCTTCCTTAATTTCGGATTTTCTGGGCTGAGGAACTGGGCAGCCCGAATACCCTAAACCCGATCCCCTAAACCCTAATGCAGAGTCCTAGCACTTAATCAACGTGGGTCTTCGTCCCAGCACCTATACCTCATCAAACCTGAAAAACAGCCCACACCCCACAATGCTAAGGTGTGATTATCCCTCCCCACCCACCCCCCCAGATTGGAACAATGACAGAAGCCAGGGGCGAGAGCAAAACCTTTGTTAGCGTGCCCCGCCCAGCACCTGTAGCATACCTCCAGCACCTGCAAAGATCTCTGCACCGGTGCGGCCCACAACCGCGTCTCTGCAAGACTTTGCTGCCACACCGCTGCTTGATGCGACCGCACATTGCTCCTGAGCTGCTGGGACACCGCTGACCAGCATGAAGGCAGATGGCCTTACGATCGCCACTGCATTGGACAAGCCAAATATCCCCAAGGCTTTGCACCACGCATCAAGATTTTTACAGCCTTTTGCTGCTGCTCTCAGCGCCTGCGTCTGTTTCGGCCGCGCCGCCGCCGCGCGGCTGCACCACCAGCAGCTTCTGGGATTCCCTCACGCAGTGACGTGACGCGCAGCGCGATGAAGGGCTCCTCAACAGGCTGGCTTGCTGTCGCGGGAGGCGTAAACAGCCAGCCAAGGCTCTCGTCACAGCTCTTGCAAAAGAGGCTGGTCCACTCGAAGGGAGGGAACCAGCTGTTCGCAGGATCTGGGTCATGGTCTTCGGCAACGAACCGCTCTTGAAGTTCAGGCGACAGCTTGGCACGTATGACATAGCTCTGCCGGACGCTTGCCTCGATCTCTTCAGCCGTCAGGCCCTGGCCCTCAAGCAACGCCCGGTTTGTCATCCCTCCGTAAGCAGGGACATCATCCAGATCCAGCAAATCCAGAGCTGAGGGATACCACATCTCTCGAGTTATCGCCGTGTGCTCAAACTTCTCCATGAGAATGTCCTTGGTTTCCCAGAAGCCGATAAGGTTGTTTTCCTACGTAGTTTAGTAGGTCAGCGCACAGCTCACGCAAGGGACAGCAAATCTACGTCCCAGATCTTAATCTCTTAAGAAACACTAAAAAAAACCGTAAGCGTTCAACAAAAACTACACCCAAGGGGCTGATACTTCAATCAAGTATTCTCACCCGAAAGCTCAAGCTCCAAATGCACAAGCCAAGACATGATACCATAGGGGCCTTAATAACTAGAATAGGGTCTTGGGGGGGGGGGGGGGGGGCTACTTTTGTATATGTATAAAGGGACCAAAAGGGAACAACATTAGTGATTCTCCCGACCCCTATATTGCGTTAAACGGGCGGCTCTGACTAGGACGGTAGAAAGCAACCTGCACAATAAGAAACACAACTGGAGCCTCAGACTCAGCTCCAGCGAGAACCAAGATCGCGAGGGCACACGGGCGGCGCTAAGCTCAAAGCCTCTTACAGTATAATTGTCGCATCTTGCTTCTAGTGGATGGCCCTTATAAAACCCTCTGAGAAATGTTCCTGAATATGATCCTCTTAAACCCAATAAGGGAACCCTAAACCCTAAAACCTACACACTGAAGCCTAAACCCTAAACCCTAAACTGAAGACGGCCTACCTAGATTGACATTCCCTAAGGGTCCATATACTTTATTCTCATTATTATATCCTTGGGCCCCAAAGTCCTTGTAGAGGAAGCACGTTAAGGCCCAAGTAGTCCCTATTTAGGTACATGGATCCTTAGGGAATATATATTTAAACCCTAAACGCCCTGAACCCTAAACCCTACACCCTACACCCTAAACCCTAAACCCTAAACCCTAAACCCTAAACCCTAAGCCCTAAACCCTAAACCTAAACCCTAAACCCTAACCCTTGAGATTATTGTCAGAACTGGAGTCGGCAGCCGAGAGCACGGTCTGCTGGCAGTTCGCGCACTGAAGGACTGTGGTCATGGCGCCAGGCTTTCGGCCAGCTTCCGGGCGTTTTTGGCAGCTTTTAGGGTTTAGGGTTTAGGGTTTAGGGTTTAGGGTTTAGGGTTTAGGGTTTAGGGTTTAGGGTTTAGGGTTTAGGGTTTAGGGTTTAGGGTTTAGGGTTTAGGGTTTAGGGTTTAGAACTCTGGCCCAGCATTCTGCTGTCTTTTGATTACGTCCGCAGCAGCGTGGGTTGAAGGTGTAGAATGAAGAGGTTGCACTTTGGGCACGCACACACACCTCTCCAGCTCCGTACTAACGTGAATTAGGATTCCTTAACTACGGGGTATCGGCGGCGTTGGGATCTCCGGGCCTGTATCCACCTATCGCTGCACTGCATCTTTGCCTACACTAGAGACGGCCGCTTTAAAACAAAACAAACTCCCATGCATCACTCGGCTATATAGGGGAATAAGACTGAAGGTCCCTTCTAAGGGTCCCTCCTTGTTCCCCTCAATAAACCCGAAAAGGCCCTTGGACCTCCAACATGCCCTAAACCCTAAACCCTAAACCCCAAACCCTAAACCCTAAACCCTAAACCCTAAGCCCTAAACCCTAAACCCTAAACCCTAAACCCTAAACCCTAAACCTAAAGCCCCCAAATCGCCTGGTCGAACAGCATCAGCCGTGAGCTCTCCATCTTAGCTGCCCCTTCACTAAGACCTACGGCGCTTAGGGTTTAGGGTTTAGGGTTTTAAGGTTTAGGTTTTAGGGTTTAAGGTTTAAGAGGGTTCAGGGTTTTGGGGCTTAGGATTCAGGGTTTAGGCTTTAGGGTTTAAGGTCTAAGCTCTAGGGAGGGTGTTAGGGTTTAGGGTTTAGGGTTTATGGTTTAGGGTTTAGGGTTTCGGGTTTAGGGCTTAGGGCTTAGGCTGTAGGGCTTCGGGCTCCCGTCGGCAACCCCAGCCTTGCCGCGCTTGGCGTCCTGGAAGGTGCCCAGAGGAACGGGCCTGCGGGCAGTGCTTTCAACAGATGAAGGTGGGCTGTTCCCCCCTTATACTAACAGCCCTTAATAGGGAACATAATAGGGGGGGGGGGGTGGGGGGTACTGTAAGCCCTACTAGGGACTACGAGTAGCGTAAGGAGAAAAATCCCAAGATGAAGGGCTCGAAGGGGGACTGGTTCAGCGGGGCTTATGCTGCTATAAGGGCTGGTGGTGTTCGACATCGTGCTTAGAAGCGGCCCTAGGAGTGGTTTAGGGTTTAGGGTTTAGGGTTTAGGGTTTAGGGTTTAGGGTTTAGGGTTTAGGGTTTAGGGTTTAGGGTTTAGGGTTTAGGGTTTAGGGTTTAGGGTTTAGGGTTTTGCGTATGACAGGGTTTATGAGGAACCTTGCACTCGTGCTTTGCACCTCAATGACCCTTCAGCAATGCTTGAACCCAGGAGCGTCGATCCTAAAGAACCCTACACCCTTGAACCTTCAACCCTGATTACTGGGATTTAGGGTTTAAGGTTCAGGGTTTAGGGCTAAAGTTTAGGGTTTAGGGTTTAGGGTCAGCATCGGTTTAGGGCTTTGGGCTGCACGGTTTAGGGGGGCTTAGGACTCTTTGTTTCTGGGAGAATTCTAGGGACGATGCTCAAGGCTTCGCAGCCAGGTCCACAACCTCCCACATCGCAGGGCGCGAAGTGGCAAAGGTGGTTGTTGCAAGGTGAGCGAAAGGGTCTTGGGGACATCACAAAACCCTTCGCCTAAGCCCCTAACACACGAAAACCCCAAAAACTGAACCCTGAAGCCAGCAAACCCTGGAAAGAACTTGAAACCCTAAACCCTAAACCCCAAACCCAAACCCTAAGGAGAGAAAGGCTCCCGCTGAGAGCTACTCCCTGGAAAGCTTCTCTGAACCCTAAACCCCTTCACCCCTTCACCCCTGAACCCTAGACCCGAAGCCCTAAAAACCCGCCCAACCCTAAGCCCCCAAACCCTAAACCCTAAGCCCTAAACCCCTAAACCCTAAACCCTAAACCCCTAACACCCTAAGCCCTAAACCCCTAAACCCTAAACCCCTAAACCCCTAAACCCCTAAACCCCTAAACGCCCGAAACCCTAACCCCTAAACCCTAAGCCCCTAAACCCTAAACCCTAAACCCCTAAACCCTAAGGGGGTGTTCAACCCCATCTGGCCGGTTGCGGTCCCTACAATCACTTTTGCTTTCCCCGCTTCTGTATGGGCAAGTATAAGATCTTGAAAAAAGCGTCTCTAGCACCTTGGATGGCGGTTGCAGTCCCTACAGTGCCAATCACTTTTCCCACGTTCCCCGCTTCCGTATGAGGAACATTGATATAAGCTACCGGAGGTGCGTTTTGGGGGGGTTCTAGCGCTTGGGAAGGCTTAGGAGTGCGTTTTAGAGATGGGCGTTTGGCTTAGAGGTGCGTCTTGGACGGGGGTTAAAGCTGGTTGCTGTCCCTACAATGCCAATTGCTTTTCCCACCGTCCCCGCTCCCGTGTGTTTGGAGTATCGGGTTTGGGTTCAGGTGTTTGGGTTGAGGAGTCTAAAAACCCGGAAGCTTATACATGGAGCATGGAATGTTTTTTCCATATATGGAAGCCACAGCGATGCCCGGCCATCGCGGCGCCACAAGGATTCCTGGCCATCGCCGCTCTAGTCTGCTTTCTCGAAGAGCGTCTTGTGCGGGGCGGCGGCAGCGGTCAAAGCCAGCTCAGTGACGCTGTTGTTGGAGCAGCGACGGCTGTGGCCCTTTCCAGCACGGCAGCGACCGCAGCAGAAACGGTGGCTGGCAGTGCTCACCAGCTTGGGGCAGCCCGGAGAGCTGCAGCACATGTCGCCTGCCGCGCCCCGTCGTTGTAAACCCTAAGCCCCCTAGCCCTAAACATTAACAGAGAGATGGCTACTCAGGGCCCCGACGCCGGCCGGGGCTTCGCCGGCCCCCTCGGCGGGCTCTCCATGGTGTCCTCGCGCGGCTTTGGCAGACTGGGGTTTGAGGGTTTGAGGGTTTAGGGTTTAGGGTTACCCTAAACCCTAAACCTTAAAGGGGGGTTTAAGGTTTAGGGTTTTTGGGGCTTAGGGTTTAGGGTTCGAGTTTAGGGTTAAGGTTTCAAGTTTGGGGTTTTGGGGTTTGGGGGGGGGCTTGGGATGCTCCAAGGCGCAGGGCTGGCTATACGCCGCATTCGACATCGAGCAAAGATTCTGTGATAGCCAGGTGCAGGTATGGCTACATGAAGTAGGGTATATATTTCTTGTATCCCCAAAAGGACACCAGGTATATACACTCACCAATACTAAAAAGGAACCTTATACACACTCACCAAAAACAGAAATATGTACCCTGCTTCACATTGCTTCTGACCCCAGCTGGAACCATGAACCTCCAAGTCGGTCTTGGGGCTGAGGATCGAGGGGCTGGAGTTTAGGGTACCCTAAACCCTAAACCCTAAACCCTGCAAGAGGTGGTGGAATAGACAAACTATTCAAGAAATGTTGCCCGCGCCAACAGGTATTAGCTCAGGGCTGGAAGGAGAATCGCTATAAACAGGTGTAGGTGTAGAAGTTGTAGTCCAGGTGATAGTATCCCTATCAACGGGTCGGGTCCAGGGGCCAATCCTTTCCCAACGGTAAGCCACCCTTGCACCGCGTATGCAAGAGGATACTCAGGCTTGCAAGACCTGAGGGGTGCACAAGCGTATTGGCCAATATCACCTAGGTTTCCCTTATGGTGTCTATCAGCTTCCACCTTATGCTCGCTATCTCTTCCTCCCCTGGCGCCTAGGTTTCCCTTATGGCTTTCCAGTATTAGAAGAGCACAGCGCAAGGATAGGGGCCTGTACACAAAGGGGGAACAAAAGATCTTTTTCTACTTCGTCGCTCAAAAGAGCTCTTCTGAGCCAACGCGCTGCGGTTGAAGCGTGCTTTGGCAGTCAACTTGAAAGACAACAAGATGCTATACATGTCTGACCAACGCACGATATTCGGCAAGAGCACAAGGTATTAAAGTCGCTCGACATCATCATCTCACCCATCACCGTCATCAAGTATTATGATCTCCTCGTCGATGTCGATGGCATATTATCTTCCATTCATCATCAGTCATCATCATATGCCAACTTCATGCCCTAACCTGAAAGTGCTTAATGGCCAGACGTCATACCCATGTAAAAGGACTTATACTCGATGCCCCAAACACCCCCCGTTATGGGAGCGATTAGCGTACATCAAGAGCGTTGAATTGTGCGTTGAAACTCGCGGTTCGCTTGCAGCCCAAACGCCACACAGCGTGGGGCAAGTATTATGAGGTCCCAGCTCCTTCGGAGCCGTGCAGACCCGCCTCCACCCCCAATTAAGGGATCTCGCAATATCATGCCCCGGGAAGCAACACGGCCTCCACGAACCAACCAATTCAACGCATTGGCGCGATCATCCATCCATCTCTGGATATCGGCCATATATGCATTAAATATTATAACTTGTCAGGAAAATATATTATCCACGGTCCTCCGAATATTATCTCTGTACGCCTCTCTCATCCGCTCATTTATGTCAGAACACGACGCCGTCGGTGTAGTCCTTTCCTCTTTCGGTCTTACTGGTGGCCAGCCATGCCCTTCTTCTCGGATGCTTTCTTTGGTACTCCTCCCAGGCCATGAGGACTTATTGGTGATCAGCCAAGCCTCCCCTTCTTTTGTGATGAAGCCTTTCTGACGCTTGTTGGGCCTTACTGGTGATCAGCCATGCCCCTGCTCTTTTGCCTCTCGCATCGCGATTTCTCCTTCATCCTCTATCCATATCCTCATCTCACTGGAGTATTCCACACACTTCTCAGTCCGAACTTCACCATGAGATAGTCGAGCACGTCCATTATTATTTGCAGCAGCCGCTTTTCGCCTCCCATGGCATTCCCATGCGCAGCGAACCCAGCTTTTGTGGGAACACGCAAGTATTAGGCCCCTTTTTCAATCATCTATTCTTGCCTCCACTCATCGTTATTATTCCTTCTTCAGTATTCTTTCTTCACGTCCTTTGGCTTTTCGCCCTTCACCTTCCATTCTTGCCCTCTTCCTCCGCTCTTCGCCGTAGGGCCTCTCCTGGTATCAGACCGCGGGGCTTCGCTTGCTGATGAAGTGGCGGCACTCCTTATTGCGGTTGTCGTAGGTCTGGACCCTGCTCCGCCCTTTCCTGTATATGTGACTTCTTCTTCCACTCCCGACGTCTCACCCCCGTCCTTCTCCTTCAACAAATTATGAATATACGGACTCTTGGCGTCGTCACTCCTCACGAACGCGGAGGGCACCCTCGGCACATCCTTCCCCTGCCTCGGCCTCTGTCTGCCACTCCTTCCCTCACTGACCCCGGACTCGCTCGCCTTATCCGTTTCTTCTACTGGGGTTCGGGATCGTGTTCCGGGAACATCCTCGCATGCTTCCGACGCGTTGGCATTGTCTCCTATTTCATCCACGTCCGCAGTATTATCGAACACGTGCACCTTCTCCTCGTCATCTTCCTTCTTGATCCACAGACTTCCTCCTTCGTCCACAGGTTCCCTTCCCTCCCTACTGGAGCTCCTTGAGATGTGGATCTTGTGCCTGAGAAGCATATCACTTGGATCATCTCCGATGGTATTCATACCTGTGACCGGATATTCGTACCCTGCGTTATCATTCGCCCATCTCATATTCGGTGTAACGCGCTTCGCACCGCTGGGTCCTTCTGCTGACCACCCCAGGGTCATCCCACCCATGGGTACCCTCGCCACGCTATCAGGATGTATTTTCGCTACTCCCTGCCTCCTCGCCCTGCTCGTCAGATGTCCAACAGCAATCTCATTTGGCCTATTAAAGCCCATTCTCATACCTGGCGTATTCTTGATCGCTGCGATCGTACTCCTGCAATCCTGTATGTCAGGCTGCACAGGCAGAGACGTTCTGTCCTTGTATCTCGGCCTGAAGAACTTCCTCCGGTATTCATCTTCGGGATCCTTCATTTGCTGCTGCACTTCCTTTTGGATCTCAAGGGTTCCCTGTATCTGTTCTAGAAGAAACTTCTTCACTGCCTCGGCACCTGGGTATTTCTTCCACGGTTCATTGTTCAACCCCCCACTCACGCTCGCTAGCACCTGCAAGCTGAGGTAGTGGCCTATCCTTCTCAGACATCCTGCCGGGTATTTAATGAATCTCATTCTCGCCGCTGCGATCGACGTCATGATAGGGTGGGAGTACATCACCTTGAATGACGTAACATCTCCTCCCGTCGCCTCGTCAATTGCTCTATCTCTATAGTTCATCACGTCCATAATCGCCCGTGCAAGTTCGATATCGAGGATCATCGCATGCGTTGCGGCGTCTTCCAACTCAAGCCGGTACACACCTGGCTGCGAGACTATTATCTCGGCCTCCGGACTGGCCCCTATTCTGAATGCCAGCCACCAGTCCTCCGCAGGATTGGCGCTCGCTATTATTCCGGCTACCACTTTCTTGTCCATGATATCGAGCCTATCTGTCACCAGCCTCCACTTGACATCCTTGTGCAGGTCCCTGATCTTCCGCTCCATATGTACTTTCCACCCCATCTTCCGTCCCTGTATTGGCATCCCCGTCTCGTGGGAGAACATCATCCCTCGGTAGTAGTCGATGAACGATGGTATTGGCTTCGCGCACTCTACACAGAACGTCACTCCCTTTGTGGTATTCACTAAGCAACACGGGCATGCGGTCAGCTCCGGCTTCAGAATATTAACCACTTCCTCGTATCTCGTCGCCCGATCCCATCCTACTCGCACCAAGTCCTGCATGATCTTATTCAAAGTTGGCTCGTATTCTTCATCCTGACTCATTCTCGGTGGGACGTCGATCTCGAACTCCCTCATGTATATGGCGGTAAACGTCTCCTCAAACCACACCGCTTTCCAAAACGCCTGCACCAGGGGTGTAGTAACAGTGAGCCTCCCTCGCCTAGTGAGGAATACCTCACCTCCCATCAGTGCGTAAGCCTCACGTCAACGGCTATTCCAATCTTTCTTCCTCGGTATGCAGCCTGCCTGAGGTCGTCGGTCAGCCACTGCGGTGTCTTCTCGTGCTCGTAAACTATCTGTGGTATGTCCTTCAGCGGCTTTGGTTCTGCGCTGTATTTGGTCCAGTGCGGTATCATCGCTATGTCATATGCATTGAGCACGTTCTCCCCAGAATCCCTATGCCAAATGTCAAGAACAATATTAAAATGTCCCGCCTCAGGGTATATGGTTCCTCTTCTCGCACAGAATGCCCAGAACTCATCCGACATCACCATGTATGCAGTTTCCGGAAGGCTACCTGGAGCTACCTTCATCCACAGCTTCTCGTCGGTCGGCGACCCGGCAAGCTGCGATATTATCTCCTTGTCTTTGGGGCGTCTCATTTCGCTCGTCGGTCTAACGCCATAGACCTCCGATATTCGCAGTTGATCGTCACTCCCTTTCCCAACTTTTCCTTCAACTTCCACCCCATACTTTTGCGCCAAATACGCGACTCGGAATTCGTCGTTTGGTCTCATGGGATATGTTGACCGTGCCTCCAGTTCCGTCCTCACAACATCCCATGGTATTCTCGAGCCTGCGTATTCTTCATACATCGTTTTGTTCTCGAACAATGTCGGGGAATGCATTTTGGCAGCGTCCATCATCTGTGTCTTGACCTTATTCCTGTACTGGCATCTCTCTCTAAGGTCATTGGGGTATTCTTCGCTGCCCCATGCCGCAATCTCTGCCACCAGTCTCGCCATCTCCTCATACACCATATTTGGATACGCCACGCCTGTCCTCTTGATATCTGAGTCAATCCCTAATTCACGCATAGAAGCTCCTGTCCATGGCACAACGAGATTCTCAGCAGTCTTAACTGAGTCATATTCCATCGCCTCTCTCAATTGCTCTGCGAATGGAGATATTATCTTGTTGAACGCCACATGGAGATCGGGGTATCGCGTA